TGTTTCGTTTAAGAAATACGCCTCTACGGCCATTGAAGAATTTTTTTTTTTTCATTTCTTTCAAGATCAAGCCTCTATAGCCCTCGAAGAAAATTTTCATTTAATTCAAGACCAAGCCTCAACGGCCCTTGAAGAAATATTTCGTTCAAGAAATACGCCTGGAAGGCCCTTGACAAAATTCATCACTTCAATTCAAGGCCAAGCCTCAACGGCCCTTGAAGAAGCAAACTAATTAAACATCAAGTCTCGACGACCTTTGAGTTAGAACATTCACATTGTAGGAGTTCAAAACACGTTTCCTACATGTGGCAAGCACATGCCTACAATCCGCCTTGAAGTGGGGGCATTTGTAGACATGTAAATTTCGTTGCATACAAAAGATGCATACAAAAGATGCATCGCAAAGCTCCATGTGGCATATGACTTATCACAAATGGACAAGTCATCAATGAGATATGGCACAAATCATGCAAATGAAGCTTAAAACTTCCTAGAATTTGGCTAAAGAGAGAAAAACTCTCTTAAAAAAAGGGCAAGGGTTCAAAATGTTCTCAAAACCAGAAAGAAAGTTAAGGCATCTTCATAAAACAAGCAAGAATTAAAGATTGCTCACAAAATAGGCAACAAAGGCCCTATAATTCGGCCAAGGGAGTAAAGATGGCTGAAATTAAGACACAAAACATCCCTAAATTCTCCCATGGACAAATTAAGACATCAATCAAAGCCAAATCCACCCAAAGGCAATCATTGAGAAGCTTATAAATACAAGGTCATCCCACAAACACAAGGGTCGAAAATTCTACACATTAAGAAGAATCTATGCATAAATCTTTGAAGACTAATACGCTACCAAAGCTCTCTTCGAAGAACATACAACCAAAGCTGAAACTTTCTTTCGACCAAAGCCGAAGCACTCCCCTTGAAGAATCAATAAACGTTCGTGCCGATTCATTCAAGACTCTGTTACAAGCTCAAAACTTGTAAAGTCACCAAGACCTTTGAATCAACGAAATCCTACATCAACATTACCCTTTGCCGCAGCTTTGAGGTAAAGATCATCCAAGCATCGTTTCAAGCTCAAAACTTGAAGCAATCGTTCAATCGTTCTTCCAAGATTAAGTCGTCACGACCCTTGGATCAATAATCAACCATCTACATCAAATTTGAAGACTAAATCAGAGGAAAAGTTGTAAATAGAAACTGTAACCTACAAATTCAAATCAATACAAATCTACTTTGTACACATGTTCTTGTTTCATTCGATACAGAATTTTCGTGTTTACAATGATCTCTTGCAACAAAGAGGTATTGTTATAGCATCTATATGCTCTCTTTGTTGTGAAGGTATGGAAACTGCTTCACATTTTTTCTTTGAATGCTCTTTTTCATGTCAAATTTGGTTTACTGTTTTGGAATTATTTAGACTTCAATATCTATTTCAAGATATTTTTAGCTTTTTCCATTATCCTTTACAACAAGGTTTTAGTACCCCAAGTGCAACTACTTTGGTGGGGTATGATTGGAATTGGTTTTTATTCTATTTGGCATGCTCGCAGTGCTCTTCGTTTTCATGAGGAGGCTACTTCCATCAATTATGTTGTAAGGTTTATTAAATTTCAACTCCTTGAAATTGATTCTCTCAATTCTGGTTGTAAAAAGAATTTTGTGGAGAGCTTTGCATTCTTCATTCTATTGGTGTTCATGGACATTGGTGCTCATGGACGTCCTGCTAAAGCTCCAAAAATTATTGAGGTGTTGTGGCACCCACCTTCGCAGTATTAGATCAAAGTAAATACTGATGGTGTTGCGAGAAGTTCCTTTGGTGTAGTTGCATTTGGTGGTATGTTTCAGGATTTTATGGGTCATTTTTTTATAGGTTCAATAGGCCTAGCCTTCTCTTTGGATGCCAAACTACGCGTTGATATTCAAGCTATATCTGTAGCTTGGGATAGAGGTTGGCATTCATTATGGATTGAGTGTGATTCATCACTGTTGTTCATCTGCTTTCTTCATCTTCACCTTCTTTGACATCGATCCCTTGGAAGTTGTTGGTCAATTGGCATCACTGTTGAATTTTACTATCCTCCATGCAGGTTCAGATTTCTCATATTTTTAGGGAAGGTAATTAAGTTGCTGATTGTTTGGCCACTTATGGTGTTATCATCATGGTGTTCATTGGTGGGATTCATGTCGTGCTTGTGCTGTAGCTACTTATTCTCATAACCTCTATAAGTTTCCTTGTTATAGGTTTTGTTGAAAGAGATTTTGACTTGTTTTTATGAATTCTTTAATGGTCAGGGTTTGGCCTTATGTCCCCACTGACACAATTTTTCTTGTTTATCAATAAATTCTCCTGAAAGTCACTTCCTATGATAACAATACTAAAGTGAGATAGACTTTGCAACCAAGTTAAAAAATAAAAAAAAAAAAAAAAAAACTTTCATATTTGTAGGCAAACTATGATATTGAGAACATGGACGACAAGCTAGATAACCCAATACAAATAGTGGAAGAGTGACCTTCAAAAATATTATGAGATATATCATGATTCAAAGACCGTTCTCGAAAAGGGTTTGCCCTAAGGAGTCGGTGGGGTGCCTGGAGGATTGGAAGTGGCTAGGCAAGCAATTTCAGGAGCCAAAGTATTTGGTAAATATATTAACAATATTTTAATAATAATTTATTAAATCTTTAGTAATTTTTTAAAATCTTTTAATACTTTCTTTCAAATAGACGCACTAATACGTACATTTTGTGTTACAGAAGAGAGCTAAAGAGAGCTAAGGCAAACAAGATCAACAAGCCAAAAAAGAAACTTCTCCACCGATTAGGTTGGAGCAGTGACGTAAGGTAAAAGTATATTAATTTTAAATTCTAATAAATATTAATTTCTATTAGGATTACTAACTTTTTTTTTTTTTGGGGGTTTAGGAGGGTTCTAAGTTTGAGGAGATTGACATGTTCAAAGACGTTTATGTTCAACAATGAGACTACTGAGCAACTCCATTTAAGTTTATATAATTGTTATTATTCTTACATTTATAAATAGTATAAATATTAATATCTGTTTTCTTATTATTACAGGCTAATTAAGGGGCGAAAGATCCATTCCGACTCTATCCATCCGACCTAGCTCAAGACATGGCTCATTTGGGACGAATCCATGTTTTCTGTATGACAAACGGCCTGCAAAAATAACCCAATGGCAGCCCTGCAATTAAATCAAAATTGAGCCCCATTCCCTAGGCAACACGAATAGCGTAATTTTTTTTAGCGATAATAGACTTACCACATTGTTCTATTTCTACACCCGCATTATAATTTCACCAGCCATAAAAATTTTAAAAATAATACAAATGATTTCTCCACCCACCATTATTCCTAAAATAACCTTTAATGTATTTTTTTTAATTTATTTTTCAAGAGTAATATTAATATATTTTTAAAGAAAACCAGCATTTTCATTAGCACCACAATGAAAATTTTGGAATGGCATAATTACTGCCACCACCAGCATTTTCATTAGTCGATTTTTCATTAATAGTTCCAATATTAATCTTGTTGATTTGTATTGTTTTCAATATTCTTTAAGAATTATTTCATTAGCACTTTTTATAAAATAAAATTCTTTTATCATTCAAGGCATAAAAAGAACATACTTTAAATTGTGCTAGTCCCCCATAAATACCACAAATGGTTTTCCCCGCTCAATACCACTGTAGTTTGGCCTTTGCAGATGCTAGATGATTTGGGGGTGAAGACGTGTTTGACAGCATCAGAGGCTTGACCGTCCAAAGATGCTAGCTTTGCACCAAACACTGGGTCGACGTTGGATCTTCCAGTGAGTTTCTTGAAGTTTTCTTTGTCTGCTAACGTTTTACACAATTTTGTAATCATCTAGGACGTAGTCATATGGGCGTATACATCAAACGAAGTCCAAGAAAAATAATCGCTTCAGTATCTAAGGTTGTTGAGCATCGGCAAAATGGACGGAAGTTAGAAGTCAGAACTAGAGCCAAAATGTACAATTCAGACGCCTGAACCATTTTGGTCCAGCAACTGGAGTCTACAGTATTTTTATAATCACATTAAGGCTTATTTTTAGTTATACCCTTTGTAACTCGATTTTAATCTTATTTTACCCTTGTAACTTAAAAGTGATCATTTTACTTCTTGAATTTCAATTTTGATCTAGGAGTATTACTAAAGAAAACAACTACACCAACCATTTGTTATTGATAAAAGAACGAGATTTTCAGATAAATAGTGAAGAAAGTTAAGGTTTCACCATAAAATGAATTGGTAATATGAGGAGTAGTCCAACCTCTTATAAGGATTTACACGGTGTCTCCTTTCACCGATGTGAGATGCTTTTACCTTCCATCCTCATACACCCCTCATGTGTGACGAATTTTCAAGCCAAACATGTGAACAATATGAATTGGGTGATGTGGAGCACGTGTGGCCACTAGGATTCACATGTGAGCCAATCTACTCTGATACCTTAATAAAAGTTGAGGTTCCACTATAAAACCAATTGATAATATGAAAAATAGTTTAACCTCTTATAAGCACATGCAAGGTGTCTGTTAATTACTAACTAATTATAAGAACAAGATAACAACCATTTGAGACCACTTAGTACTACTGTCTAGTAGTATTCCTTTTCACTTGTAAGTGAGAGGTTTGAGGTTCGATTCTTGCCAAAAGCGAATTGATATTCCTCTTCACTTGCAAGTGAGAGATGTTAGGTTAGATTCTCGCCAAAGGTGAATTTGAACTACATTATTGCTAGTCCATTGTGAGGCTTAGCCTTCACTTGTAAGTGAGAGATGTTACGTTTGATTCTCGCCAAGGGTGAATTTGAACCATATTATTGTTAGCTCATTGTGAGGCTTAGCCCACTCCTCTATCCCCCTTAGTGTAGGTAATATCGTTGCTTAAAGACAAAAAAAAAAAAAAAAATGAAGATTATTGAGACATGTTATATACATAGATAATGAATACAGTTTCACCAAAAGCAATAAGCCAGTATAATCCGAAGTCAGAATTATTTTCCTCATGGAGATTCATTTCCCTTCCTTCCAACTTGTGGTTACCTTCTTGCTCTTTCTGATCATGATTCTGAAAATAGGGAAGCGAGCCAAAATAAATTTACCCCCAGGGCCATGGAAGCTACCATTTATAGGAAACTTACACCAGCTCGTTGGCTCTATACCCCATCACGGACTGAGAGACTTGGCCAAGAACTACGGACCGCTTATGCACCTGAAGCTCGGAGAAGTGTCCACCATAGTTGTCTCATCAGCAGAGTTTGCTAAAGAGGTAATGAAAACCCATGATGTTATCTTTGCATCAAGGCCTCACATTCTTGCTAATAGTATTCTCACTTACGGTGATACAAACATTGGCTTTGCACCATACGGTGATTATTGGAGACAACTACGGAAAATTTGCACACTTGAGCTTTTAAGCATGAAACGTGTTCAATCTTTTCGATCTCTTAGGGAAGAAGAGGTACTCAATCTCATTAATTTGATTCGATTAAGAGCAGAAACGCCTATCAATATTACTGAGCAAATTTACTCATTCACATATGGATTCACATCACGAGCTGCCTTTGGTATAAAATCAAAAGATCAGGACAAATTCATAGATATTGTGAAGCAAGCAATGAAGGTGGCAGGAGGCTTTGATGTTGCAGATATTTTTCCATCTGTCAGTTTGCTGCATCTGATAAGTGGGATGAGGCCTAAACTTGAGAGGCTACATAAAGAAGCTGATAGGATAATGGAAAACATCATCAAAGAACATAAAAAAGATATGGCAACATCCGAAAGTCATGACATTGAAGCAAGGGAAGACCTGATAGATGTTCTTTTAAAATTTTACGAGGAGGAGAGTGGCCTTGAATTTTCCCTAACAGCTGACAACGTCAAAGCAATAATCTTGGTAAGTTCACTTTCCGTCAATTTCATGCTTTGAAAAAAAAACTACTTCTGCTGTACTGTGAGAATAAGCTCATTTTTGTTGCTTCACTTTCATTTTGTTTTCATCCAAAACTATGAAAATAAGCTGTTTTTAAGTGTTTACCAAACACCGTTTTGAACTCAGCTTTTTTTTATACCTACTTTTTATAAAAGTTCCTTAGTTCCAAACCAATACTAAGTGAAACCAATTTTCAACTCGTGGGAAAAATATATTAGACCTTTAAGTAACTTTTATGTATTATGAATTAAGATTTCTCTTTGGGAACTAATTTTGTGATCTTTGATGCATGAGAGGTATAACATTCCCACCTACGGTTCTACCATACGTAGGGTGGATGCAAGTATTTTCCTATGTAATTATTCACTAACTAGAGTATCAATTATCAACTTTCAGGAAACTTTTGGTGCCGGGGGAGAGACAGCAGCTACAACTGTAAATTGGGCAATATCAGAAATGATAAAAAATCCAAGAATAATGCAGAAGGCACAGGCTGAGGTGAGGGAAGTATTCAACACAAAAGGGCAGGTAGATGAAACGGGAATTAAAGAGATGATATTTTTGAACTTAGTGATCAAGGAGACACTGAGGTTGCACCCTCCTTTTCCTCTGTTACTTCCAAGGGAATGCCGAGAGAGTTGTAAGATTGGTGGATATGAAATACCCGTCAAGACTAAAGTAGTTATCAATGCATGGGCAATTGGAAGAGATCCCAACTATTGGACGAATCCCGACAGCTTTTATCCAGAGAGGTTCCTTGACAGCTCCATTGACTTGAAGGGAAAAAACTTTGAGTTTATTCCATTTGGTGCCGGAAGGAGAATGTGTCCGGGCATGTCATTTGGTCTTGCCAGTGTGGAGTTCCCACTTGCGTCGTTGTTGTACCACTTTGATTGGAAACTCTCCAATGGAATGAAGCATGATGAAGACCTGGACATGACTGAGGCCTTCGGCGTTTCGGTCCGAAGGAAACAAGACCTGCACTTGATTCCCATTCCTTATCATCCTCCGCCTACTGGAAACTAGCAAGGAGAAAAAAAGTTGATTGCCTTTAGTCATATAAAAGTAATACCCGTTTCGTATGCACTTCATGTATTGGAAGTCCTCATGTTGCATCTTTTCTTTAATCCAATTAATAATCGTAGTTTAAATATGTGCGTATACACTAGTGGTATACATGATCGTATACACTAGTGATATGTGTGCATATACGTACACCTAATGGTATGTAACATATACCACATGCATGTTATCATTTTATGTTGTAATACATGTTTAATTAATTAAATAAATGAGCTAATCCACTTGAATGGTAGTCATAATCCATTCATTCTAATACTCTTGTACTGTCTGTTGTACATATAAATCTAGTTGTCTTGTAAATTTCAAATCCTGCAATTGAAAATGGATATTGGCTTCGGTGACGACGGACTTCTGAGTATAGTAAGAGTGCAGAACCTCCCACAGGTTCTTGGACGTTCTGCAGCCGATAGTCAGAGGAAGATTTATACTGGACAAGCAACTAATGATGATAAGTTGATCTTGGGTGAAACCATGTTGCATAATCAGGGTTAGGGATTTGAGAAGGCGGGACAGAGTTTGTGTCTGGTTTTGGCTTTGGGATCGGGTATTGTCAAGTGAGGAGATGGGTTGACTCCGTCAATAAACAGCCAAAGGTTATGTCCAATGAGGAAGGATTTGATTTGGCACAGTGCCAAAGTAGGTGGTCGGAGTCGGACAAATTTTGAAAAAAATTAAGGATATATCGTAAAATCAATTAGTAATATGAAAGTAGCTCAACTTATTTATAAGTCCATATAAGTCTCTTCTCCCATCAATATAGGATTCACTCTCAAAACGCTCATTCAAATGTTTCAAATTGTTAAGCCTAACACAGGGACAACACAATGAAGTCATATGGAGCACGTGTGGCTGTTTGGCTTCACAAGTGGGGCAACCTGCTTTGATGCCATGAAGTTGAGGTTCTATCATAACACCAATTGGTAATATAAAAAGTAACACAACTTACTAATAAGCACATGCAAGGTCCCTCTCCCATCAATGTAGGATTCATTCTCGAAAAAAAGAAGTTGTGAAGGAAATAGTGGTTGGGAAGTTGAGAAAAACACCTAACGTGTATATAAATCAACATATTCGATTCATTGGAGAGAATGAGTAAATTTTAGGTCAAATATAACTTTTGATTCTAAAATTTCTGGTTTAGAAATAGTCTAACGCAGAACACAAATAACAACTAAGCAGAAAGCACAAGCTATGAAAATTTTGAGTTTTCACCGTTTTATGTGTTTTCTTGTTTGTGAGAGTAAAGAAACGTTGAATACACAAAACAGGGGACAAGCCAAAACCAAACATCTAGGAATCATAAACACAAAATGTAATACCAAAATTACAAACAAACGAGTCGAGCAGGTTAATAAATAACTGATCATGACAAGCAGGAAAATTTAAAAAACATACTCGGAGATGAATTCAATCAGGTACTACTTGTTAGAATAGAATTAATTAATTAATTCAGAATTCTCTCCACAACATTTTATAGGAATGTAAATTCTAATTGTAATTAGTGTAGCATTCTTACTTCTGAGATTAATAACCCTATATATATTGTAATATATATTTTGTACATATCAATATAAGAGCCGCAGTTTCTAACTGCATTGCTAAGTCGCCAGCAGCTTGTGCAGTTGAGCCGCCAGCTGTGAGCCACAATGGAGCCCCCTCAACCAAATAACCAAAACGACGCCATTTTTGTAGTCATCCTTAAACCAAATCGAGGCTCGCCTAAAGCCGAGCCAGTGGCGTAGCCTGAAAAACTTTGCAGGATGGTCAACTTTAAATAACTATAAGATTAAAAGATTATAAGAAAAATTCATACTAAAATAACAATCCTTAGTCTTAATAGGTATTCATAAAACATTCAACTAAAATTACAATTGCCCTCACGAATTTTCAAACCACTAAAATCTTCTCATAATCACATCATTGTCAATGTTATCAAAAATATCTTTCTTAATATATATTACCCTGTTGTCTTTCTTGATATATATACAATAAAATCACGAAGAAAATTGTAAACTAAAAGTTAAGAATTACCTAATTGATTTGTTGATTCAGAAAAAATTCTGAAGATGAACTGGTGAAGGCTTGATGTCTCGAAGTTGGAGATGGTTTATTCTCTGAATTGGAGAAGTTTAAAAGTTTTTTGTTGATAGAGGAGAAGTTTAAAGTTTAATGCTAATTGATTGGTTATCATTTCAGTTTGGGTAATTTTTCTAATTTTCTAAATTTTATAATGTATTAAATAATGAAAGAAGACAAAAAGGTAAGAAATAACTCTATCATATTGGACATTAGAGCAACTCCACCCCTAAGACTTTGCGCCAGCACCCAGCCCATTTATTCACTTCAGTGGACAGTAATAGAGCCTAATGAACAGTAATAGGCCAAAGCATCTCCACCCCAAAAAAAATGTGCTGGCACCCAATCTAAAAATGCGCTGGCACAAACGATCTCCACACCTACAAAGTGCGCTGGCACCCAGTCCATTTAAAATATTAAATAATTTTTTTATAAAATAATAAAAAAAATAGTTTTAATTTCGGATAGGTTTTTTAAACAATCTCGTCACGCCACGTGTCATTATCCGAACGTACTAATTTTTTAAAAAATTTCTGTATTTTTTTAAAAAAATTCACAATTTTTAATTAATTTTTAATAATTTTTAATGTTGTAATTAATCTGGAACGTTGGATTTGAAAAATAATCAAATCCAACAGCCAACCAGCTGCCACGTGGCCAACAGTCAAATTTCTGACCGTTGAGCCTTTTTTTTTTTTAATTTTATTTTTGGTAAAAAAAACGTGGACCGTTGATCTGTGATCGGACGGTCCAATTTAAAAGTCAAATTTAAATATTTTTTACCGTTGGAAATCCAACGACTCTGAGGAGGGCCACGTAGCCCTCAGCTGGTCGAAGGCAAGTTGGCCTGAACGTGGGCCCCACCGCCTGCAACACTGTCGGCTACTCGCGCCCAGTCGCGAGTGTCATGCATGCGCCAGCCTTTTGGACCGGCTTCTGGGTCTGTCCGAAATGGGCTGGCCTGCTGCCTGGCTTGGGCTGGGTGCCGGGCTGTTTTGCGGGCTGGAGGCAATGGACAGGGTGCCTGGCTGTTTTTTGGACTTGGTGCTGGGCAAGTCCACCTCCGGTGGAGTTGCTGTTATGGTCAACTGACAAATAGAGGTTAAATTATTTAGTGGGCCACAAGGGTCAATATATAAGAATATAGCATATCATTAATAAATTATAATATAATACATACTATTTTAATGAGAATCATTAAAATGTCACAAGGGTCAAATGACCACTGTAATGACAATGTGGCTTCACCTCTGAGCCGAGCCCACGATCTTGTCATTTTTTGAAAAAACATGACCTGTAGTCATGGTTTTAGTCCACATTATTATCCGTGACTTCGAAATTCCTCGAGAATTTCATCGAATTATGTGGGATTCCCACTTGAATCCATATAGTTCTCAAACCCCCACCCTCCCCGACGTAGAGCAATTTTTGCTCTGACGACCAAAACTGGTTCCCCGTTGAACCGAGGCTCTGTGACCCACCCCGGGCCCAGAACATGGCCATCCAAAGCGGCGTCGCTGGTTTTTTCGGTGATCTCCCACCTAGTGTTGCTGTGGTGTTCTTGGACCACAAACCGAGCTCAATTTAGGCCTGGTCTTGCTCACCCTGCAACAACAGCCCTTTGGGCTTCTTCCTGGGTCTGATTAAGCAACCCAAGGCCGCAGATGGACCACCAACGAATTTCAACGCCTGATTTTTTTAGGCCTTGTTAATTGTAGGCGTGGGTTCGGGTTTATTCGGTTCGATTTTTTGCCAAAACTAAAAGCCGAACCAAAATCATTGTTTGGTTCAATTCGGTTTGATTTTTTATCGGTTTATGTTCGGTTTGATTTGTATTCGGTTTGGTTTTTTCCAGTTTAACTTTTTTTTATTATTAATTTTTTTTCTCTTCTTCTGCAGTAGACAAACTAGTTGAGATCCAAAGTCACTCTGCCTTACTTAGCTGTATCAAATGAATTATATAGATTACGGCAACAAGAAATGGCAAACAACATCGTTTGTCTTCCGAATAGTAGATAAAGAGATGATCTTAAAAGAAATCAAATTTCATGCATATCATTGTTACATACATACATATATATATATATATATATCAACAATCACAAATTTTACAAATAATTTCGCTCATAGAGATGCTTGAAGGACTGAATCAATAGAGGGAGGAAAAGAGAGAAAAACAGACACAAAGATCTCCTGCGAAGGTTATGATCCAAATTTTGTGAGGTTATTCAAGGAGTAATTCGTCTAATACCAACTTAAAATTCCAAATCAGAACCGTTTAGTCAACTGAATAATCACTTTAGTGTTTGTAAGAAAAGACTTTGTTCATTCTTATCCTCCTCATACAGCAATATTCAAGGATCTTTCATTGCAAAAAAATATCTGATCATGGACAAATGTGTTTAATCATTAGATTATTACCATACTCATTCATAGGAATATTATGTTTGTCTGGCTAGCTTATCTGAACAAAGTATTGCATGAGTAATTGGAACGCTTGTCATTTTGCATTGCTAATTGTTTAATGATTCAGAGTCAGGTTTATCTCTCTGGCATGAAGGTTGCTACATGACGGGCCAGTTCACAGTGACAATCTCTCTTTCTCTCTCTCTCTCTCTACAATCTATAAACACCAAAACCCAGTACGGCCAAAGGGTTTACCCTCCCAGAAAAATCTAAAATAACAATCTATTGAAAATTGAAATATCTCAAATTCTCATGACCACACTACACATATAGTATATTTGTCCAATCAAAACCAGTTTCAACAGATAAATAGAATTTGAGAGACAGAGAGATAAACACAGAGAAGTGAGAGTGTGAGACTAACCTTTTGGTCGCTGCTAGGAATGAGAGACACAGTTTGA